GGGGCAATAGGAATGCAGAAGAATGCTGAGGAGTTTGTGAGTCCGACTCTGGAAAGGAAAGAATGGGGAGAGCCAAAATCCAAGGGAAGATTATGCTATTTTATTGACTATGAACCTTTTGAAATGAAAATTGGATAGTCAGTCCATAGTGTTCCCTGCTGTCTTCAGCAACCACACACTGCCCTTGATTATGAAATCTTCACTGGTCTTGCTTGAGCACATTTGTAGCTCCTGCCACCTTATTTCCCACCCATCCCTGTATCCCCAACTGAGCAGAAGTTGCTCTAGCCCCCTAGCTAGCTAGGGTGGCCACTTCCTCTTCCCCTCTCTCTGCATGACCTTGTGGAGGCCGGAGCACCAACAGCTCACCTGCAACAGCTTTAGCAAAGCACAGGGCGCTGCTCTCCTCCATCAGGCTCAGATCCCCTGCTGGCTTGGCTGTTTCCAGGCAGGCACCACTAGTTCCAAGGACATCAGCTTTACAAGGAGTTTTCTTTATACTCCAAAGAAGCTGCAGGAAACTGGCCACCAAGTTTAAGTGGACAAATCTGGGAATGGGTTGCAAGCCTGTATTTCTGGCTACTTGTGAGGCTGAGGCAAGAGGATGGCTGGCAATTTTGGGTTATGTCTAGGCAACTTGACAAGACACTGGACAGTAGGCTTGGTTGCTCTCATCCTCATAGATCACTCAGTTGACACTCTATCAGGGTATAGGCCCTGCTGAGACAGGCACCTGCCCAGAATCACAACTTTGGCCATAGTGGCCACAGGAAGGTGAGCAGTGGCAGGAAGGCGCCACTGAATCCCTTTTATACCATTTGTCCTCCATTCACAGTACTGGGGGCTGCTGTATGACCTAATGGGTAGCCCACATCCAGCAGGCGAGGGTGAGAAGGTCCAGGGAGGTAGCAGAGAGGTGGCAGATGAGGATTCTTCAGGGCTGGGCCTTGGAGGAAAGGGGTCATGGGCTCATATGCCTTCTCAGCCAAAGCCTCAGGCTCCAATTTTGACTCAGTCTCTTAAGTGAGTCATCTAAGAGCCTGAAAGTGACTCTCAGGTCACTCATCTAATTTGCTATACATTTCATTCATTGAGTTCTGCATTTCTTAATCTTTGAATTATTAATTATATTTATTTTAAAGTTCATTTCTTATGACTTTATTAAACAGATAGCCTAGATTCCCCATTACTATTTGTTTTCTTCCTATAATTAAAAAAGTCTGTACATCTGGTTGGTTTTGATTAGATACAAATCATTGCATAGAAAAGTTTATTTTGAGTCTGGAAAATTTATTTTCTTTCATAGTTGATTTAGTTTGCTTCTGTCAGAATATTAGGCTAGAGGTCTGTCTCTTGCTTCTGACCTGGAGCCTGATCCCCAAGGCTCAGTCACTGGAAGTCACTTTCCACTCCTCTCTCTCCTAGTGGATTCATTGTGGATCCCAGCTGAGAGCCAGGGAATATCCACAAGTTTCTTCCTCATTGTGAGTTCATGCTCAGTTTTGTTCCTCCAGCTCAGTGAGACAGCAAAAATTTCTGCATGATTTCTCAGCCTCTCAACTATCGTTGTGTTTAGAACTGGTAAAACTGATGAACAAATAAACAAAAAAGAACAGTCTGTCAGTGTGAGGTTGTATTAATCAGCATTGCTGCCACTGATACAAAAATCCTACCACCTACATCTTAAAGGAGGAGACGTTTATTTTGACTCACAACTTCCATGGGTTCAGTCCATACTTCAGTGGCTCCAAAGCATAGTGTAAGATCTTAGTGGGGGAAAGCTGTTCACCTCAGGAAGAAGAGAGAGGTGGGAGGAGCCAGAAACAAGATACAGTTCACACCACAGTATCCCATTTCCTCTGACTAGGCCCCACCTCCCAACAGCTACTGAAGTTATCAATGGATGAGCTGATGAATGTAGACCCTTATGATCCTGATCACCTTCCACACACATGAAATTTTGGGTTAGATCTACACCATAAGACACATCTACTTCTTTTGACCTTTCTATTCTTCTGTTCTGTATCACTGCCTTAATAAAAAGACTCTACAAGCCTGAAATGGCAGCACATGCCTATAATCCCAGCTCTCTGGGAAGCTAAAGTAGGAGGATTGCAAATTCAATCCCAGTCTAGGCAACTTCAAAGTGAAATACTATCTGAAAGTGAAAGACAAAGGGCTGGGAATACAGCTCATTGTGAAGGCCCCCTGTTCAATCCCCAGTACTGAAAACACATACACAACAACAGTAACAACAACAACACAACCTTGTGTTGTAAGGATGTTCTGTAATTAGTTTTAGAATTAGATGGGGGTATAAATATATGGATGAAAATTTCTTATGTCAGAGATTACCAGTTCCCCCTAATGTCATAATCTTTCTTTTCCTTTAGTTCTTTTACTTCAATTATTTACTTTTACCTGGACACATGGGCACTGTCTTAGTTTGTCCATTTGCTGACACAAAATGCTCAGCACCCACAAGTTAAGGGAGGAAAAGTTTATGTAGCTCACAGTTTGTAGAGGTTTCAGTCCATCATCGGCTGGTTCCCTGGAAGGGCGGCATGGCAGAGGGGCATCGCAAAGAATAGTTCATGGGAGGCAGAAGAGAGCAAGCGAACAGAAGATAAGACAAGCCTCTCTGTCCCTTATATTGTACCCAGGTTTCCAGGATTAGGGTAGTGTCAAACCAATCAGTGAACTGATTTAGTAATCACCCACCCTTAATCCTGGTGTCACACACTCTAGATAAAGCCACCTCTGAAAAAGCCCCTCCTATGACTGTATGAGGCTTTGGAGGGACATCTAGACCCAAACCATAACAGTCCCTCAGATGTTCACTAGATTTTTAAGACTTCTTAGTAGTTAGATGTTTATGTTCTAGATGGGCTTGAGATCATTTAGCCTAAGTGATATTCATTCTTTAAAGGAACGACTTCTTGACATGTTTTTCCCTTTGCAACCCACTGACACGCAGTTGTGGTTGCAGGAGACACAGCAGATATTTTAGAGCTAATGTGCAAAACTGTGATGAGAATGCAAGAGTAACCAGAGAGCTGGCCCTTGGCTTCTTATACTTGGACTCTTACATGAGAGGAGCAAATGTCTCTCCTGTTTAAATCATAACTATAGTTGGATCTTTTTTATTGTAAGAACTTATTTTATCAATACAACATTACCACCATAGGAACAAAATATGTGGAAAAATTAGGCAAAAGTGCCCAAAGTTAAATTAAATTACTCCATTAAAATTGTGTTTTTGAAAGTATAGAAATGAACTTTCAAACCGAGTCTGATGACTTGGAAATAATGGCAGATTAACCCACAGGTCAACAAGGCCCACCCAGTAGGGTGACCAAGTGATCTTCACGTAGAAGAATGCGGTGTGCGGGAGGGTGTTTGGGGCAGGAAGAACAGACTTCTCCCATAAGTGTAGCTAGGGTCAACACCATTCAGCTTGTGCATTTCATCATGCACAAAAGTAGTTTTAGTGTAGCACAGTCTTCCTTTTTTTCCTCCCAAATTAGATCCCAGATACTTAGATAAAACTCCTCCAATTGTAAATGCTGACAATTTCAACACCCTTCTAACTGTCAATGCAATATCATTATTCTCTTCTTGGTCACTGAAAGAAAAGAATATATTTCCAATTTTTAAAAATCCTATTAACATTTTCAATAGCATCTGATTCCATGTATGGATTTAGGAAATGATTAATTGATTTTTCTGTTTTGAGTCTTTTTTTCCCAAAATTAGCTTTACACCTGTTTACTCAGACTTTGTGTCCCTCAGTAATGTAGGCAAGTTTGTTTCAGAGATACACTGCATATATGTACATCTCCCTCTCTTCCACCCATCCATCCTTTCCTTCCCTCTTCCCATTTCCTTTCCTTTCTGTCTCATCTTTAGTTCAGTTTCCTTTAGTCCACCATCTTTCCAGAAGCCCAATTTTTCTTTCTTCCTTCTGTTCCTCCTTAAGTTGTTCCCTTTTCCCTTGTTGTTCCTTTCTCATTATCTTTATTTTTACCATCTTTTACCATCTAAATGAGATCTTTGCTTGTGTTTTTTCTAATAGGTTAGTTGTCTTATAAATGAAAATTCAAGTAATTTGAAATACGATGTTTTTGTTTTGTTTTGTTTTGTACCAGGGATCGAACTTGGGACCTTGCTCTTGTGAGGCAGGAGGTGGAACCACTGAGCTAAATCCCTGGCCCTGAAATATGCTTTTAATTAAAACTATGTATACAAAAATGTATACAATAGCGGTACATCTTAAAGAATTATAGTAAGGTGAACATCCCCTTTCCTGTATGGGATTTAGAAAAAGAAAAATACTCATGCCTTTGAAATCTCTCCTGTGTCCTTCCATAAATGCAGTTCCCTTCTCTCTGCCTCCTAGGAAAACTAGTATATTGACTATTTTCTTGAAGGAAAGGAGGGAGGGAGAAAAGAAAGAGGGGGGAAGGGGAAGGGAAAAGGGAGAGAGGAAGGAAGGGAGAGAAAAGGAAGGGGGAGGAGGGAGACGGAGGGAAGGAGAGAGATTCTTTAGATATAACCTCTTTCTTCTTGCGTGTTCTTCTTGGATTTTTTCTATTCATACTTCTGCTTATGATTGACCTCTGATTCCTCCTATTCCAGTGTTTATAACGTAACAATAGTGGTACCACTACAAGCAGGCAGTAGGAAATGCCTCTAATCCTAGCCCTAGAGAGAAATCCACACCCCACTCCGTCCTATTCTTTGGGTTTGCCCTCTAAATTTCTTTTATCCATCGGGTGGGAAGATTTTAAGAACCGGAAGTACACTCTCCTCCGCAGGCTGGTTGCACTTTACCTATCAGCGTGAACGTTTAGGCGCAGGCGCACGACCTTCCTGGAAGGGGCTCGGGTGGCGCTATGGGACTGCTGATTGGCCCGTCTGGAGGCTGACAGTTGGCCCTCTCTGCTCTTGATCCTGCGCTGGGCTGAGCAGAGCGAAGTTCAAGCTTCCGACAAGATACCTGGAATTAAAACCCAGGGTCATGGAGAATTACCAAGGTTTAGCAGAAGCTGAGAGGTTGAGCGGAGAGCAGACTGCCCGCTATATGAGATATGTGAAAGAGGCCAAAGAAGCAACAAAGAATGGAGATCTGGAGGAAGCACTTAAACTTTTCAATTTGGCAAAGGACATTTTTCCCAATAAAAAGCTGATGAGCAGAATCCAAAAACTACAGAAAGCCTTGGAGGAGTTGGAAGAACATGAAGATGATGAATTTGCAGATGTGTGCAACTCTGGCTTGCTGCTTTATCGAGAACTGTACGACCAGTTATTTGAGCACCAGAAGGAAGGTGTAGCTTTCCTCTATAGTCTTTACAGGGATGGCAGAAAAGGGGGTATCTTGGCAGATGATATGGGGTTGGGGAAGACTGTTCAGATCATTGCTTTCCTCTCCGGTATGTTTGATGCTTCACTTGTGAATCATGTGCTATTGATAATGCCTGCCAATCTCATCAGCATGTGGGTAAAAGAATTTGCCAAGTGGACTCCAGGAATGAGAGCCAAAACCTTTCATGGCCCTAGCAAGGATAAACGTACCAGAAGTCTCCACCGGGTTCAGCAAAGGACTGGCGTCCTTATCACTACATACCAAACGTTAATCAACAATTGGCAGCAGCTTTCAAGCTGTAATGGCCAAGCATTTGTGTGGGACTATGTCTCTTGATGAATGGCGTCCTTATCACTACATACCAAACGTTAATCAACAATTGGCAGCAGCTTTCAAGCTGTAATGGCCAAGCATTTGTGTGGGACTATGTCATTCTTGATGAAGCACATAAAATAAAGAGCTCCTCCACTAAGTCAGCAATATGTGCTCGTGCTATCCCTGCAAGTCATCGCCTCCTCCTCACAGGGACCCCGATCCAGAATAATTTACAAGAACTATGGTCCCTATTTGATTTTGCTTGCCAAGGTTCCCTGCTAGGAACATTAAAAACTTTTAAAGTGGAGTATGAAATTCCTATTATTAGAGCGAGAGAGAAGGATGCTACTCCAGGGGAAAAAGCCTTGGGATTTAAGATATCCGAAAACTTGATGGAAATCCTAAAACCCTATTTTCTCAGGAGGACTAAAGAGGAAGTACAGAAGAAAAGGTTGAACATACCAGAGGTCAGACCTGCTGAAAAGAATTCAGGTGTTGATGCCATATATGAAATGCCTTCTTTTTCCCGGAAAAACGATTTAATCATTTGGATACGTCTTGTACCTTTACAAGAGGAAATATACAGGAAGTTTGTGTCTTTAGATCGCATCAAGAAATTGTTAATGGAGACACGCTCACCTTTGGCTGAGCTAGGAGTCTTGAAGAAGCTGTGTGATCATCCCAGGCTGCTGTCTGCACAGGCTTATCATTTGCTGCATCTAGGGACTGTCAGAATCTCTCCTCACGATGGAAATGAGGAAGATCTTTCAGATGTGGACAGCATTGCTCATGTACCTGATGATGCACTGATGGGAGAATCTGGAAAAATGATATTTTTAATTGACCTGCTGAAGAGACTGCGAGATGAAGGACATCAAACTCTGGTGTTTTCTCAGTCAAGACAAATTCTAAACATCGTTGAACGCCTCTTAAAGAATAAACACTTTAAGATATTGCGAATTGATGGCACAGTTACTCATCTTTTAGAACGAGAAAAAAGGATTAACTTATTCCAGCAAAATAAAGATTACTCTGTTTTTCTGCTCACCACTCAAGTGGGTGGTGCTGGCTTAACATTAACTGCAGCAACTAGAGTGGTCATTTTTGACCCTAGCTGGAACCCCGCAACTGATGCTCAAGCTGTGGATAGAATTTACCGAATCGGACAAAAAGAGAATGTTGTGGTTTATAGATTAATCACTTGTGGAACTGTGGAGGAAAAAATATACAGAAGACAAGTTTTCAAGGACTCATTAATCAGACAAACTACTGGTGATAAAAAGAACCCATTCCGCTATTTCAGTAAGCAAGATTTAAGAGAGCTCTTTATAGTTGAGGATCTCCAGAACTCTACAACCCAGTTGCAGCTTCAGTCCCTGCATGCAGCTCAGAGGAGATCTGATAAGAACCTAGATGAACACATTACGTACCTACAGTCTCTGGGGATAGCTGGAATCTCAGACCATGACTTGATATACACACACGATCAGTCCATTAAAGAAGAGCTTGATGTGATAGAAGAATCTCAGTATATTCAACAAAGAATTCAGAAAGCTCAATCCCTTGTTGAATTCGAGTCTCAAAATACAAGGGAAAAACAAAGAACTGGACATGAGGAAGCCTGGCCAATAGCACCTCTGTTTCCTTCTCAAACAAAGAAGAAATGCCCTGAATTGAAGAAATCACAGCCTTGGCCTTCACCTTGTATAACTATTCATCCTACCCAGGAAGGAGATATCACTTTTCAAATGGCAAATGTAAACATTGATGATCGAGAACTCTCCAAGATAAAGATGAATATGACCATGTTACAAGGTGGTATGCACCCATGTGAAAATACACTTAATACTAACTTTGTAGCCCCTTTACTCAAGGAGCTTGGAAGTGTAGAAGAAATTGGGACTGCCTCATTACTAGGAAATTCAAAAAGCTTTGTTGTTGGAAATGAAGCTCTGCAAAAAAAGGCATTACAAGAAGAGCCTAAGCAAGAGGCACTGCAAGAGAATGCCCTGGAAAGTTTTAATTGTTTAGCTATCCAAGCAGTTGCACCAACTCTAGATCTACGGGATGATGACATTTTATATCACTGCAATCCTTGGCCCAGAAATCCCATAACAAGTGAAAATCAAAGCACAAGATCGAGTGTGTCTGTTATTGAAATATCTGATGAGTTGTCCACATCCCATGATGCACTACAGCATGTCCAAGCAAGTGCGGCCGAGTCAGAAGGGGAACCTTTAGCATCTTCACTACAGTATGCATGTGATTTCAGTCTTTCTCTGGAAGACTCTTCAGACAATATTCAAAATCTGTCCACTCAGTCTTTGGGACATGTTGAGAAAGAAAACAGTGTGTGTGTCTCTGCAGCTAATTCTAGTGCAGAGTCTGTGCACAGCAAAGTATGTCTCCCTTTGGATTTTCCCAAGGAAGACAGTGAACCAGAGGAAGTGGTAGTTAATGTTAAAACCAGAAGCAAAGCTAGAAGGATCACTTCAGGTGATGAAGATGAGGATGATTCTTTAAAAGGTACTTCAAGCACAAATCCATTCAGCATATCTCTCTTTCATTTCTCATCTGTGAAACAATTTGTTGCTTCTACTCCCAAAGATAACAGTGCACCTGGACTGTTCTGTTCACCTAAAATGCCTGGTAGTGTAAATACATCTATGAACTCTAGGAGATCTCTGGCTTCTAGAAGTTCTCTGATTAAAGTGGCTTTAGACCACATGGAGGAAAGGCTTGACAATAGCAGTAGAGCACAGCACACTGAGGATCATCTGGAGGATGGAGCCAAAGAAAGCAGTGATGAAACCTCAGAGGATACAAAAGATCCTTCTGAAGAAAGGTTGTCTTTGGAAAATAAGTCTGGCAGGCTAACAATGGCTAAGCCACTAGGCTGTAATCTGCAGGCCCCACTTGGGGCTTCTGTGCCTCTCTCTGCTGAACCATTGGTTGACTCTTCTCAGGGTAAGGCAGAGGAGGCTGCAAATGACTATGAAACTCTTGTAACTCATGGAAAAGAACTCAAAGAGTGTGGAAAAATACAAGAAGCCTTAAACTGCTTAGTTAAAGCACTTGACATAAAAAGTTCCGATCCTGAAGTCATGCTCATGACTTTGAGTTTGTATAAGCAACTTAGGAACACTTGAAAATGTTTTAACCTATGTATTGTGCGGTTTTTTTGGAGGGGGGAAGGTTTTTTGTTTTTAGAGATCAGTCCTGCTGTGTAACCCAGACTGGCCACAGACTCACACCAGCTTTAGTCTCCTGAGTGCTGGAATTACAGGTATGCATCACCATGCCCATCTATTTATTGTGTTTTTAAAATGTTACCGGTTTTGAGGCGATTTGTGTTTGACAGCATGAAGGGTTGTGCTTAAGATAAAAAAGATCTCATAAAGCAATTTCTGCGTCTGCATCCTAGCACCTATTCCTCCTCTCCCAACATAATGTTTTCTGAATGTTAGGCTAGCTAACTTCTTTTAGTCATACTCTATAAATTTAAGACAACTATGTGTGTGTTTCTTTTAAATTGTGTGTGTGTGTATGTGTGGTACTAGGGCTTGAACTTATTTTTTAGGTTGAATTAGGGCCTCACTAAGTCCCCATGTTGTCCTCCAACTTGGGCTCCAACTTGCAATGTACCTGCCTTATCCTTCCACCTCATCCTCCCTGAGCGCTAGGATTATATGCGGACACTACCATACCTAACCTAAAGTTTGTTTTGAAATTATTCTGAGTATTTGCAAAAGGATCACCTTTGAATATCAACTGAGATAAGAAAATTGAACTTACTTTTCTTCAGTGTAAAAGAAAAAAAAAGATCTTAAGGACCACTTCTGAGTTATAGGCAGAAGAAAATAAGGTTGAGGAGTTCTGTTAGGCACAATGAAATAAAAGTACTTCTCACATTTTAGCTTACTGCAGAGAGGGACCATTTGCAGGGAACTGATCCTGAGGACTCATGGTTAAGGCCTTGAGTGTCCTCTTGATTATGATTTTCCCTTCTCATGAACTTTTAGATGTATAATTCCAATCAGGTGCTTTTGTAACCAAAGATGTTAGTGGTTTCCTTTTGTTCAGTAGACAAGATCTGATAGGTGCATGTATCCAGCAGAGTAGGAGGGGCCGCGTCTAGATTGCTCGTGGCACATGGTCTAGGATAGGCTAAGAGAGGAGTAGGCAATTGGTGGATTGGTTGAACCCTTCGTGGTTTCTTCCATCATTCTTGCCACTTTCTGAAGCAGTTCTAGAAGTCTTCTTGTGTCTTTATAAAATGTGATAAAAAGTTCAGTGAATGCCACTGCTGAGTGCCACCCAGTGGAAAGGCAAGCTTGTGAAAACATCGCAGCATGCTCTGATCCACCTGATTCACCAGATCTAGCTCCGTGAAACTTCTGGTTCTTCCCTAAAGTGAAAATGATCGCGATAGACAAATATTTTGAAGGCATTCAGGAGATCAAGGCAGCCAAGATAGCACAGCCACAGAGAGGAAAAGCTGACTTCCATAACCACTTCAGAAAGTGGAGAAAGAATGACGGGATAAGTCTGTTCAAAGCCAGGGAACACATTTTAAGAGGGGTTAATGGCAGTTTATCTTTCGCTGTAATACTTTTTAAAATTTAAATATCCACTGTATTTTTCTATGAGATCTCTTATTTCTTGATTCCTAAAACAGAGGTACTTTTTGTCCACTGTATATGATACATAGTCTGGAACACTCTGACTTCTCCTCAGCTTCCTTCTATCACTTCTGCTTTCTTTCCTTTGTTATCTGCATTGTATTTGTATTTTTAAATTCACCTCCAATAAAAACCATTTGTTTATAAAGGAGTTTCTCATTTTCCCCCTTTTCAGGCCCTGCCAACCACACATCTGTTCTCAGACTGTGAGGATTTTCCTATTGTGTTATTTTACGTACAAGAGATCACACAATATGTAGCTTTGGGAGTGGTTTCTTTTACTGACAACTGCTTTTAAGGGTCGTTCCTGTTGTAGCATGTATCAGCCTTCATTACTTTTCCTGGCTGAGTCGTAAGTCATTATGTGACTGTCACATCTTGTGTGTCTATTCATATGTTGATGAACATTTGAAATGTTTCCACATGGCTATGGTGAATTTTGCTACCATGAACATGCTTGTGTACAAATTTTTCTTTGAATGCATGTTTAAATTTGGGGGATGTATACCTAAGATCACTTAGTCATATGGTAATTCAGTCTTCAACTTGAAGAACCACCTAACTATCCTGGGCAGCATGTTTTAGTTCATAGCATTTACATCATATTAGGTAACTCATTTAAGTATTTTTAGTGTTGGTTTATAGATTGATCTTAAAAGAAAACCATTAAAATGGGTCCTGTTGTGACTAAGGTAAATTGTTCAATGCATGGACCATATTCATTGTATTAATTTTTCTTCTATTAAGAATAAGTTCTCATCTCTATTTTGAATTATCTTTTTTGATAGTCATTTTGGTACTGGGGATCAAACTCAGGGCCTTCCACTTGTGAGGCAGGTGGCACTACTGAGCTAAATCCCTGGCCCATGCCTACCTCTTTTCAGTGGAGGGTTTCCTCAAATGTTTGGCAAGTCTGTGTTGTCCATTTATATTTAAGAACATGATGCCCCTTGGTGGGGTTCACTACATAAGTAGGACTCATCACCTGTTGTCCTGTGCTTTAGGGTGGTTAAGAGGTTAGGAGGAGAAAAACAGAAAGAAATCTTCACATTCCATCTGCCAATGATCTCGTTTGTGTCAATAGCAAGGTGATGGAATCTTCTGTGTATGCTTTCAGTTAATCCTTTCAGTCAGTGCACACAGTTTCAGCCTTTTTGGGCTCCCAGGCATCATCATCATGTGGGTTTTCAGAGCTGAAGTCTCACCGCTGTCCCCCTTTTCACAGCTGTACGCCATCTGAGAGGTCGTGGGTCCTGCCATTTGGTTGCTCTGCCAGCCTTTATCAGTTACCATCTTTTCTTCTGTTCTGTCTTCCAGAAGTTTTTCAGTATCTCTACATCATTGAATCCCCTTCACTAATTTTTTGTTCCTGTGTATTTATAACTTTAAGCATTATTATTCTCATTTTGTGAGGACTTGGAGGAAGAAGAAATAAATACACATGGACAATCTGTCCACTTTAGCTTGAAATCCTCCATCCATCTTTAAATGTGGATGTGCCACAGGAACGAAGGTAAGAAAAATAGTCTTTTTATTAATACTATAAGATGGCATGCTTAACTTACATTTCCTTACCTATTGAAAATTAGGTGGTGCAATTGAAGGAATGAATATTCTCTGAAGACCATTTCCCTACCCTAATGACACATAGGTCATGTGATGGGCATTATCTCTTCAAAAGTATTCCTGATAAAATATAAATGATAGGATTCCTCAATAGGATGGCATCTTCTGAGGCTCTGAGAGACCCAGGCTAGGAGGAGACCGTCTTTATCCAGTATGGTGACATTATGGAAGGATAGAATAGGCAGTGACACTTCATTAGAGACCGAACAAGTATACATAGGTTACCTCCTCTACATCCCATACACAAACTAAGCCCGGGAGAAGCTCAGCTTCCAGTTTATTAACAATTTGTTATTGCTTTGCTTTATACATTTAACTTATTTAGTCAGTTTTGGAAGACACCATTAAAAAATAAATTTAACCTAGTCCAGGTTGTGCTTCGCTAGCCTGTAGCTTTCGGTCAGTGTTCTCAAAAATGTGGATGCACTGCCACCTGGGGGCACTTGGTGAACATTGCAGAACAGTCAGAGGTTCGTGTTCTCCCCCGGGGTGTCTCAAACCTGTTAGGACCATGTATAGAGGAAGTCTTTGGCTGCACCCTTGCTTTATTCTTTTACTCTTGAAGTGTGGACTGTGTGAAAATATATACACCATTGGCATCAAATAATTTCTGTGTGCCTAACATGTGTTAGGAACTCTACAGAAAACAGACTTCAGTGGTGAACAACACTTAATCCCAAACCTCACTTGCAAAGTTCCCTGATGAACCTTCTAGATATAGAGAAAGAATCAGAAGATTTAAACAAGCCACTCACTTTCTCTTTTGGGTACTGACCTAGGAAATCAGCATGATAGAAGAACATCATAAATTCTGGTCCCCTATGTAAGTAAGTTATATTATGTTCCAAGCTGATTTTAGATAAGATAGTAAAAATTTAGATTTTTTTTGTGGGGGTAGTAGCTGGGATCAAACTCAAGACCTTGTGCTTGCTAGGCAGGTGCTATGCTACTGAGCTACATCTATGACCCAAAACGTACATGTTTTAAAGTCTTATCCAGATTTTTTTTTTTTTTTTTTTTTTTT